ACTGTACCAGGGGTGTGAGCAGGAGGCTGCCAAGGCTCATGCAGCCCACTGACCATTGTCTGCTGCTCCTCATCCGTGTGGGCACAGGTGATACAGCCAGGAGCGGTCTGAGGGGGAGCTGGAGGAAGAGGAAGTCAGTCARAAATACCCGGAGGCTTGTGTGGATGGAGTAGTTCCTGGATAAACTCAAATACTGAAAGGAAGTCTACGGAAGCTGGGGCAGAAAGCTGGTGAGAAATAMAGAGAAATTGTCTGAGCAGCCAAGGATCATGTTTGGAAAACAAAAGCCTTGATAAAATTAAGTCTGGTCACGAATGTCAAGGGAAAAACCAAAGCCTTCTACATGTGCAGTTGGTGATAAAAGGGAAATTAGGGAAAATATGACCCCCCTCTGAATGGAAATAGACTTGGTTACTCCTTGGAGAAGGAGAAGGCTGAGGCACAATGATTTATTTGCCTCAGTCTTCACCGGCAAGTCACAAGTGGATTTTCCGTCCCTGGCAGTGTGCAAGGCCAGGATGGATGGGCCTTTGAGCAGGTTGGTCTAAYGAATGGCATTCCTGCCATGACAGGCTTTTTGCAATTGGATGGTCTTAAAGGTCCCCAGACATTCTACAATTCTATGATACGTATTTAAGAAAATGAAAAAGGTCAAGTTTTCAGTCTCTCTGGTCTAACAATATCTTTGTTAGCACACCATTTTACCACAAATGAAGCACCGAACTGGTAGGATGCACTCTGGCATTGGAGACACAAGTGTGAACGGCGCCTGGCACTACTTGAACTCTGAAAGCTGACACACAGTTTTAGGGCATGCTGGGGTGTGCATAGCAGGCACCCTGATATTCTCCTCAGGCAGCAGGCATTGCTGGCAGGCTGCACTTGGTTTGAGCTCCTCTTCCATCTGCTTCATCCTTGGAGCTGACTGCTGCGGCCACTCACAGAGCGATTTTGGCAGCAGCAGGGTACAGATGCCCAGCTTGGGAATGAGTTTTTGAAGTAGTGATATCTCAGTGTCAGCTTGCCTTCCAGCTGATCTCTCCAACAGTCTCTGGCTGGACTCGTGGCTCTGCTGGCTGCTCAGGAGTTGGGGTCACTCTGTGGCTTGCTGGCCTTAGCAGAACACTTGTCTATGATTAGTCCCTCTGAAGGAGCTAAGAGCCTCCTTCATRCATTAAGAAAAGTAAAATCATCCTGGAAAATCTCATGAAATTCACTTAGAAACTTCTATAAAATGACATTTAATAGATTTCTATTCTTGAAAATTTCTGCTGTGCTCTAYTAGTGTATGGTGGATTTATTTCTTCAGTGCAAGAAAGAGCTTCATAAAGTCTGGAATAATTTCCAGAAGATGAAACAGAACATGCCTAAAATTTTTCATGTACAGAGCATATTCTTTAACATATTGGTGAAGCAGTCACCATCATTCTTATAGCAGATAGATCAAAAACCATGTCAGTATCTCCAGCTCTTATACTGTCAGCCATGGACTGAAAGAACTAAAAAGTACTGTCACTGCTTCCACCACATGACCAAAATGAAATTCTTTGTTCTAGGCTAGGAATTTTTATTCTATTGAAGGGAATCTCTTCAGGCAGATACTTACTTGTCCTTCCCTTCTCTGTTCACCTGTCAATATCCAAACGGGAAATAATAAATGCTCTGGAGCTTTGAAAACCCAGAGTAGCCAGGTATGTTGACTAGTTTTTCTTCTCTCTTGCTTTGCTGCCAGTTCTAAATGCTACCTGAAGATGAATTTTAAAATTTACTATTTTCTCATGCCTCTGACAGTACTGGTGGAATCAGAGTACCAGCTTGAACCTTTGGGTATCTCAAAAATTCTCTTTCAGTGGTCATGTCCATACTCATAGGKAATTTGACAGTTCACTGAAAATTAAAATACATGTACTGGTGCAGTAGCAAGTGCATACAGGCCATATCTGCTGAATCCCTTTTCTTCTCACAGCATCACTATTCTGGAGGCTGCAGCAAACTCAGGTTGCGAATATGATATAGGGCATATGGAGAGATTTTTCTGTATTTAAATGTAATAAAGGAAATAATTATAGCTGTGAATTTACTGTGAGATCAGGCCAGAATGTGTCTTGATTTTTTTTTTCTTAAAACTACAGATCCAGCCTTAGCTGTGGAAATTTTGATGCTGGTTTTTTTTTTCCTAGCTTGCATATATTCTGTTCTAAAATAGAAGTGTTGATTGTGTGAGTAAGATGCAACTTACTCTTGCACAGGATATTGAGTCTTCAGTGAGTAATGAGTAAAACGTAGTTATACATGCATGTAATTTTTCCTGGAGTAAATAGAGTATGATTATACTAAGGAAGGAATTCTGCTGATTAAAAAGCACTGTGTACTCATGTTTGGGATGAGGCTTTCAGCAAAAAGAGAACCAGAGTGGCAAAATACCAGTGAATAAGTATTTACAACAGAACGTGCAGAATATTCTTTCCTTGGCAAAAAGTAACTTGCTGTATTCTCTGCAACATTATCCTCTGCCTTGGTACARATCTTCAGGTGCAGAATAAGGACAAATGCAGTGGGAGGCTGCTCTTGTGCAGACCCTGTCTTGCTGTCTCTCAGTAAATACCATTCTTCCAAAACAAGTTAATGGAACAGTAGTGATGCAAAGTCCATTAAAAGTCTAACTGAACTATGAGGATTAGGTTGGTAAACACAGGATTGTTTTGTTTTGCTCTGCAGCGTGAGGTAATTTGAGTTGGGTGCGAGGTCATGCAGGCTGAGATCCTCAATGCCATTCTCTYAAGCTCTCAGTCAGTGCAGAGCTGTGGCGTTTTCTCCAAGCACATAAAAAGCAGAAAACAAAAGAAACTGTGTACCCAAGTGCATCTTATATTTTGCCTTAGAGCTCTGTGCTAGCAAACTGAGCACTGTTTTTGGGAATAGGGCTGCAGTTTTCCAGAACTGCAAAAGAACAGTGCCAARCGGAGAAAATACAAAGCGTTTCTGATCTGTGGCAGTTCCAAGGCAACAGACAATGAGTTGTCAGTTAAAAGTGAGCGTGCAAAACCAAATTCAGTTGGGAGCAAAGAGGCTCATGAAGGCTTATAAGAAATGGCATTTTTATGTSTGTAAAACCTATTTCTAAGAAAGTGGATTTTGTGGTGTGTGGTTTGGGGTTGTGTATCTGTGAGATCTGAGGTTTGTTTTKATTTTTTTTCTCTGACTAGTTGTTGAACCCAGAAGGAAAGTGCCCTGTTGAATAATAAGGATCCGCTTGGTTGCTTTATTTGAAAGTTGTTTGGAAATATCTGCAGAATAGGGAAACAAATGCAATTGAGCAGAAAACCTCGGTTGCTGGGACTCTTATTAACTCTTTAACTACTTTTCTTAAAATGAGAGAAGTAATAGAAATAGCTACTTTGGAAACTGTTCTAAAAGAAAAAGGTTTAACTGGATAAAATAGCAAATAGAGTCGAYGTGGACTGCTTGTTCAGAAAGGCTGGAAAGAAAAGAAGGGAAAAATGGCAATACCAGATGGGAGAGATTCTGCCTGGTAGTACCTCATTGGTTTTGCATTATTTTCATGTTAGGATCACTTTTTATGTTTAGTCATTTAAATAAGTGTATATTTACAACCTCTTTCTTTGTATTTTGATTCTTTCCAAATGCATTTTTGGTCATATGTCTTTTATTCAGATTTACTTATATTAGAATATTTTTTTAAATGTCTAGGTTTTCAATTTAATCTGTCAAACTCCAGGTTATGGAACATGAAACATTTTGTTTCAGATGATTAACATCTTACAGACATCAGAAGTTTWCTTGGAGCCAGTGATTCAACAGTGATATATGTTTAAGCTTTCATAGAGAGACACTTTTATTGGGACTCCTAAGGAGTCACATTTATGGGAAGTATGCAGCTGCATTAACTTCCACCTGTAACCCTTTCTTGGTCTCTAGGCATTATTTTCTAAGGTGAATTAGAAAAATTCTAGAGATAAATGGTAATTTCAGTGATGACCATGATTAAAGCCTACAGCTAGGAGAAAATTATGTTATTATTATCATCATCATCATTATCACTATCGTTATCATTAATAATAATGATAATAATAATAATAGAAAAAGCTGTATCTGGCTAATGGTATGAGGATTTGAGTTTAATAAGGACTAAATGAAAACCCCTGTATGCAGGCTTGAAGAAGAGTTCATGTGAGCTCTGAAAAAAAACCAACCAAATTTAAATGAARAGTATCTCATTTTTTTAATCACTTTTCTCTCAGCCCACTTCTGCTGCTAAAGTTTTTGAGGTGCATACCACTGCAAGTCAAAGATCTCATCATGTATTGCTGGACATGTCTTGATCTGAAAAATTAAATACATAGCTCGGCATTGCTAGTGTGGTGTTCTATTCTTACTGGCATCTTTGTCATCAATTATTTCTTTCTGTATCTCTCATGTAAGTTGAAGAATAAGGAGACTAAAATCAATAGCTCCAGAGAAAGCATGTAACCAGTCTCCTGTATATTTGGTGGAGAGTGATGCAAAGACTAAAATAATACTGTCATTTCTTTTCCTTCTTTTCTAAACAGTTGCATGAGTATTAGAGTTTGCTGTGCTAGAAATTACTAATTGCTCAAATGAATAAAACCCCCAAGAACTGAATTCCATTCTGTTTCTCCCTCCTTGCAGAAAGGAYTGACAAAGTAGCACTCCTTGTCTTTTATTGATAGATAGCTGTACTCCAACTATAGCTTCAKTTTGTGTGAGGAGTGTGTTCTCTTTACAGCACTGCATTGCAGTAATGCTCTGGCAGTGCCAGGGTGCCAGAATCCCTTGGCCAGAGGGACCCAGGAGCACAGGCATTTGTCTCAAATGCCTTGACCGATGAACATGTCAAACATACCCAGTTTTTAGTTCTTACTTATGCCTTCTTTTATTCTGTTTGTTTGCTGATTTGTATGGTTTCTTTCAAAAGTACTCAACTTTAAAAAGAGGCTCATTCTTATTATTGTTTGCAGGTTTCCAACCTGTACCTGTATGACAGTGTGCTCATGCTGGCCAATGCTTTCCACAGAAAACTGGAGGACAGGAAATGGCACAGCATGGCAAGTCTGAACTGCATGAGGAAATCCACCAAACCCTGGAATGGAGGAAGATCCATGCTGGAGACCATTAAGAAGGTGAGCAGACAAACCACAGCTGTGTGAGCAATTGAAAGAGCTGCTGTATGTCTACTTGAGCCTTTGAGGAAGGTTTTAACTTCTATTCAACTTCTCTTTGATTTGTTAAAGCAAATGATCCTCAACAACCAGGGACAGTCTACAGCTATTAAACAAGCAAATGGTTTATGATAAACACAGTCCAGTGTGGATCCAGTGGTGTGTGTATTACTTCTGTTGTTCTCATAGCTGCCTTCTGTGTAGGAAGTAGGTTTAGGGGTAGTCATGGGAATTGATTCATGCATTTTGTAAGAGAACAACTTAAGAAGCTCAGGGAGGCAACCAGTGATGAGCTTTAAGAGTTATTCTCCATTTTCTACAGCTCAGATTGCTCAGTATGTTAACTGAGCATTGGTGAGTATCTGTTTTTGTACWGCAGCCCAGAGCAGAGCAAAAAGGATCTGCTTTGGCTAAGCTGTCACTAACAGTTACACTGTCTTGCACCATGGTGAAATACTCAAATATGGACAGTACAGTGGCTTTGTAGACTCATGGCAAATTCTTGTGTAACAGTTATTTGATCACAAGAACTAGTGGAAAAAACACTCATTTTTTATTATACTGACTTTCACAATTATTCAGAAGAAACCCCCRTTCCCAAATATATATTGATGAAATCATTTTTCTGTAGTAAAATGATGCAATTTGATAATTCTGACAAGTCCTAATGATTCCATCCTTTGTTGCTAAATTAATCTGAACTTTGGTGTCACTTCGAGCTGCTTTGCTACAAAGACAGAATCAAAGTGTATGATACTTTCCCAGAGATGTAATTTGATCTTCCCTTGTGCTTCTCTTGGGAGCACGGCAGGCAAACCCCTTCTTTTGGACTGAGAGTTCATGCCTTTGTACTGAAGCCCAGAACTGAGCCCACTGCCCTGAGTTACACTGAGGGCTGCTCTCTCACAGTCCACTAAGGTCCTTCTCATTTTCTTTGGGGTCTGTTTCTGTGGACAGTGATGACCTGTTTGCCATAAACACTGGGTGTATTAGTGCTAAAGTAATTTTCTAAAAAAAAATTTAAAACTGAAGTCTTTTGTCTGGCGCTGGGTTTGAGCTGCTGAAGAACCTGTAATTGCCACATTTAAGTTCACTGTAAGCATTATTAAAGCATATTTGGCACACATTTTATGCAGAGGAGTGTTCATGAAGGCAATTTTTTTCTGCTCTAATATGTCTGAATCTTATTTCCTTAGGGCCATATAACTGGGCTGACRGGTGTTATGGAGTTCAGAGAAGATGGAGCCAACCCCTATGTCCAGTTTGAAATACTGGGCACCAGCTACAGCGAAACGTTTGGCAAAGATGTGCGGAGGGTAAAGATATGCTGCTTCCTTCTCACTTTTGTTTTCCTCTAAATAATATAYATCCTGCCTCACAGGACAAAATGTTATTCTTTAAGAATGAAATAGTGCTATGCTGCAGGAGACATTTACTATATGAGAAATATTTTCTAATTTATTGCACACTTAAATCTTGAAAACTAGTTTTATATTGGTAAGCAGGAACCCTGCAAGTTATTTCCCATGTGCAGTAACAATGCAATGCCATAACCATCTTGTGAATATAATAGTGAAGACTGCACAGTTTAGCTTATGTATTTTATTGTTAATTAAGATAGGATTGCTATATTATAAATATGGATGATATAACACAATTGGCACTTGTCCTACTAAGGAAACTAGCTCAGAATATAAATTACATACGCACACAAAGATGTTTTAAGTATAGCTGCTGCAAGAATTTGAGATAAATAAATAAAAAACTTCTAGAGAAGATAATTTTCAAAATGAAAGACATTATGTCATGAAAAGTAAAGATTGACCTATCAGTGGTAGCTGATGGAACAAGGATTGCCTGGGATTAGAAGGCAGAGTGATTTCATGGGATTATTAACATRAACTGTCTTGTTCTGAGAAGGCTACCTTGAACACACTCTTGCAGAGAGGATGCTCCAAAAATGTGTGATGCTCTCAGTTGAACAGCGAGGTTCTGATTGGAACCCATGCTATAAACCCAGTTTCTAAATTGTTCTRCTGGTTGAAATGCAGACATTACCATGGGTATGATCAATGAGTCCTACATTAAACAGAGCTGAACAAAGAGGATTTCACAAATAATTAAAATGTATGTCTTATTCTATTTTCATTTGGCCTTTGGTTTCTGTGATTCATTTTGATTTGCCTGAATTACAGAAGTGTAAGTGGAAAAACAAGCAAAGAACTTGTGTTTACAGAATCATCTTTATCATCTAAACATGAGATTCTTTCAGAGTCTAACTTGGCACAATGATTCTGGACATGGAGCCAAAATCGTGCAGTATCTATTAGAAATTCAACAGAAGGGAAACAAGTATTTGAAATGCATAAAGCTCCAGGAGATATAATTGAAAATTTTCTGTTGCCAAAAATATGCCTCTGAACACTTCAGTTTGACTAGGTAACCTCCTCTATTGTGGTGACCAGAAAAGGCTATTTTTCTGTTCACTTTCTTTTCTAGAAAATGGAAAATAAGAAAGTCTTAAGTTTCAAATACTGCATGAATTACAAAAGAGTATCTTGTCTTAATTTTGGAAAAAGTGTCGCCTGTTCAATAAAACAAAGTTGGTTTAGGAGGTGTAGGAATCARTCCTGGTTCTCAGACGGAAATGTGCTCCTCACTTTATACACAAGTACACAAAACAGAAGTTTCTGGTGTCATGTGAGATGCAGTGGGACAATCCCACTGTGTTTCCAGCTGCCACTCCAGGAAAGCCTGAGTGTCCTGTCAATGCTGTGCTATCCCCAGCATATGGATGCCKTGGGGCATTTAAGTTCAATTCCATTTTGTTACAGACTTCCCAAGGACTTTGCTTAAGTCATGTATTTACTTCTCCATAATGTTGGCATGAGCACCACAGAGCACAGATTTCAACCTTACAGGCAAACCAGGATTTGTGAGCATACATGATTAGGTATTTTCTAATGTGCATTTCAAATATGGTACCACAGATACAAATGCTCTCACTTGATTTTGTGCAGCATACTGACCAAATTGACCCATAATCCAGAGGTGGGAAGTGGAGATAGCTAGAATATCACTCAAAAGTGACCATAAGGCAAAGAAATAGGTAAAATGACTAAATGGGAAAATTGCTAAAGTGTAGTAAGTATACCTGGTATACTACTGATTACTGTTGATCCCTACTTTGTGATTTGGAGGTTAATGTAGGAAGGCTTAACTCTTAGGATGTTAAATTCAGAACATTATAGAACTCCAAAAAATTGAAAGGGAGTATAATTCTAAATGGGTAAAAAGCTAATGGCTGTGGAATACTGCTCTGATATAACATGAATTTCTGGAAATTATCCTTTCAGTCTAATATATAGAGACAGTAAAAAGTCAGCAATATGCTACAGAAGTTTGTAGAAAAACTTGGAAGACATGATACCTCTTAGAGCAAAATTACCATGGAACTACTGGAATTCAATTATGTAGGCAGCCTAACTTTTTATTATTGCAGCAAAATATGTTACGGCTTAGAAGTACTTTAAAAGGCTGAGAAAATCACGCTTGTCTTATTTTTTTGAATGAGAGGCCAGTTCTGATTTATTGTCAGTTGTTTCCATTTCAGCCTTTGCTCAGGTTTAGCTGTGGAGGCATGTATTTTGGGTAGAAAATAGAGGGTTCTTTCTACATGGTTTTATGGTGAGCATATGTAGTTATTCCTCCCTGTGCAGACCCTACAAAAAATCTTTGTGCTCAGGATCAGTGACAGGGTAGGGCAAAACACTGTAACATTGAGGTTGAATCTTAGATGGAATCCAGCCAAAAGCTCTTAACTGGACTTTCAACGCTCAACATCCCTTGCAAAGATTCYTGGGGATCATTTCCACCAGGAAGATTCCCCGGAGAAATGTCCAAGATAGTAACGCAGATCTGCAGGAATTTTCAGAGCTGTTTTGCAGAGGCATCTTGATTCTCCAATTGTCCTGAGAACTGGTCTTTCTGCAGACAATTTTTCCTTCCACTAGCTGTGATTTAGTTATAAGTGCACATAAATATATGTATTTGATTTCTTAGTGTAACTTCTTTATTCCACAAGTCACTTAGTCTCTCTTCTCCTTTCTTACACAAGACTAACACCATGTGTTTTTTGTAAAGGCTCGTGGAGGCTTTTGTGTATTTTGTGTGTTATCATTTGTTTTTCCTTTGGGTGCACTTTGGTGAAAGGGAAACTTCAGAAAATGCTCTAATTTCTCCGGTTTAAACATAAAAAAGCAGGGTATGTCCCTTRAGGTATATCACCTTGTTTTACAAAAGGCTCAGGTAATTGCCTTCTGTTCACTGTGTACATGTGGAAGTTTACAAACCATTGTGTATTCATGCTTAAAAAAGAGATTTGTGCGGTGGCTTTTCAGGGCWTTTAAAGGTTGAAGATTGTTAGAGAAACTGAAAAGGCCTAAGTGTCTAGTGCTTGATGATTGCCACTATCATTTATGTTCCTGATGTCTGTAAACACCTTCAGAAATAACAACCAGAGTATCTGTATGTTTCAAAAAATAATAAAAATAATTGGATATAAAGTGATAAGGGAACAGAATAGATCCAAAAGGAAAAAGGAAGAATAAAGCTGATGTCCTACTTTCACAGTCCAATGGTCATAAAGTGGGAAAGGAAGGCAGGAMTACATTAATTAACTCCTTAGTCACCGTCTTTATTACTAGAGCTTTTTAATGCAAGCCTTGATGTAACTTTCAGAACATTTGGGCTGGTCTATACTTCTTACATTTCTGCACTTGGGTAGATTCTACAAAATAGAAGAGTTACACAATCCAGCTGTGAAAGTAAAACAAAGGGAGTTGGAAATCCAGGTTCTAACTTGGCATTCCTAGAGASTCACCACCTCACAGTGAGCTCTTGAGGTGTAAATCCATTTGTTCTTGTTCGACTGTGTGTGCAGAGAACACCATAACAGCYAACATCCTTTGCAGGGATGTGATTAGGCTTAGTTAGATGATGCCTGCAAGAAGGTTTATGATCATCTTCATCTTCATTCTTGGTAGGAAGATTGTCTGTAAGTGTGAAACGATGTGGGTATTTAGTTTATTTTATRACAGGGAACATATTTTTTTCTAAAGCAATCCGCATTTCTTTCCCAAGCTGGCTGTAATGAAGGCAGAATTAATGGTTTGCRCACATTTTGTGTTTCATAAGAAGCATTCTGTTCAAAATTATAATGTTTATGATTGGTTATTCATTTCTGTCAGTTGGTGTGTTTTAATTTTTTTTAATTAGATTTTCCTGAAATCATCAGCTTTGTAAACAGCTATAGTTGTTTCCTACAGCRTTTCTGAGGCAGACTGCAGAAGTCACTGTAAGTAGTTTTTGTGATACGTTTCACAGTTGTTGAAAGCATATTTTTGAATTCTGATACTGTGGTTTAGTTGGAATTGTTACTTTTAGACAAAATCCTCATTATTAGCATGATGAAAAATCCTATGCTTCTTATTCATTGCAAAAAAGAATGGTATTTTTAGACATCTGCAATATCAAGTTTCACCTCCAAGAATCTTACCAAATCCCATCGTATGCTGCTTAAAGTTATATATACATGCCAAAAGCATTATCTTATGTGGTTCCTGCTATAATTGAATCAGTTTTACTTACATGTAAAAACACAAAACTTAGTTGCCTGAGTTTAGCTGTAAAACAGATTCCTGCCTCCTGTTTGAGCAAATCATAAACATGTACTTGGGTGTAGTATTTCAGTTTAACCTGTTTGGCCAAGGTATCTTCYGGCAGAAATGCAAGACTGAAGTTGTGGCAGCTTTTGCTCACTAAAAACCCAGCTACTTTGCAAAGGGAGAGGCTTATAGTCCTCTCCCTCTGGGTAGAATGCAATTTCTACATATTTACATTTGGTTAAACTTTCTGCTTCATTTGATTGAGTGTCATGGTGGAATAATTTAGGAAAGAAGTGTTGTGATTCACCCCATAACCACATTGTGTCAAACTGTAAAAAAGAACTGAAGTATTTTACTCAAAATAATAAATCTCCTCWAAGTTTTAGTTGTGATTTTCTGTACAAGATGTATATGAGGAATAAAAGTAAATACATTCCTTGCATATTCCATAAGTTGAATTATTCATTGTGAAAAATACAGCTTAGCATAAAGGAAATGGCTATGATCAATTTTTAAATCATAGAAGAAAACTAAAGAAGAAACATAATAACCTTGAGCATTTTGTTTTGKTTTTTTCCCTGAAATGAAGTGGCGTCACTGTTTCCCCAAGTTCTGCTAACTGGGCTTTTTATTTTTTCTAATTGAAATAC